TCTCGAAGATCTCATCTTCCTGAAGTTGGGATTTATTCATATTCGAAGACACCTGTTTATCCATTAAAACCGGTTTCGAATGCGTCCACTGATGTTAGTGCGAAACAGTGTCGATCATTAGTTGGTGTCTTCTAAATGTTGTCACACATTCAACGCTTTGTATATACTCTGCACTAACATACACTCATTCACTTGTAATGCCTGTTTTGTAAATAAAATGCGAAGAATATGCACTCGCTACTTGCTCAGTTTATACTTAATTATGGGTTTGTGAGCTCATTGATGTCTGCGTTCCAGCTCGATTATCACACGTTCTACTTATCAGTAATCAGTAATAAAGTTGCTTGTGGGTTATTATTAATGATGAAGTGGATTGATTATTGACTTAATAGAATGATGGCATGTAGCTAATCATTTCCTAGGCAAGAAAGTTTGTCGGAATAATTGAGTTAATCCAAACACCGCAGTTTATTTCTAGATTTGCTAGTGAGTAGGGTGTGCACCGTTTGGCGTTTTGTGGACTAACAATAGAGGAGGAGTCTGTTATAATTGGTCTTTTTAAAACATTTGGAGGATTTGTGTCATGAGTTGTGCTATGAATTTAATTGAAGCCAGTTACGACTCAAATTAGTGAATTTTGCAATAAGTTAGTAGAGGGAGCATAAACCCCCACCTATTTGGGAAAGCATCGATATTACCATCGAGGAGTCTCCTCTGTGGCACTCAACTTCGTCCTCTCAATCGGTTCACCAGACTCAGCCGGTGCGGTTGCCTATTCCACTCACATGAGGCGCATGATGGGAGCAAACTCTTAACCTCTTTTTTATATCTGCATTATCTTCATTACAATTAATCAGTTATGCCCAAGTTATGCGATTAAAATATTCACATTCACAGCTGATAAACATGAAAAAATTTTATAAATGTGATCAAATCTAAAGTGATTGTACCCTGTCCTTGTATGGCCAATAACCATTTGACTTTTAAATGCTTCATGGCAATGAAGTTCTTCTTTTCACTCGTGTGTTTAAAAGTTTCCAAAACCATCCAAAATATCAACGATGAGTCTTGTCGTGCCATTCACATTACACAGGTATCGTTGAGCCAAAGTAGGGAAACTGAGAAGTGGAGAAATTGTATGGTACGTTGTCGTGGTTGCATCAGCGGAAACATTTGATTACTGTTTCAAAGAAACATTTTCCATTGCTCTTAATAACTTATATCAATTTCGTCAGTCCATTTTGTCATTACCTTGTTTGCTCTTTACAAAAGGAGAAAATTTTTAAAGGCCCCCTACTTCCACCACTTTAGTCACATTTGAATGGATCTGCAGCATTTTTTCTCAGTATTTTAAGACGATCAGGAGATATTCCATTGGATATTACACAGTGGCTATTGATTGCTTGTTCTTTGAGAGATCAGAGAGCATAAAGCAAGACGATTACTCAATTCGAAAGGAAAAGCGGGTTCCATTGGAAATAAATATGACCCACCTCATTTCAAACTTATAACTTAGAAGTTGAGTTGGTCGATTTAATTATCAAACAAAATAAGCAGTGAAAATATTGTGATTTTCCTTTGTGTACGTAAGGTAGAACCGATAGTAGTAAATTATCTCAAACTGATAAGTGGAGTTGTGAAGTTGTAGGGGGGACAGATCATTGCGCATCTATTGTACATAGAGGATAACCTTGGTGTCAATATCCTCAAACCACTGGGGAAGTTCTGAAACACGAACATCCGATTATAAAGAAGTAAAACATTTAGCCAAACCTGCTCTTCTCTTGAATTGAAGAAAACTCAAAAGAATCTTTAAATGGGTTTTTTTCATATATCCTACTCTTTCTTTTAGCAATGTCTTGAGATGCTTCCGTAGAATAAAAAGGCTTGAATAAGTGTTTACCTCGCTAAAGTGAGAAATGACACTCCAGTTGTATAGTTAATCAATAAATAATTAGGCCTGATAGTATTTGATGACGTAAATTAATAAAGATTGCTTTTAATAAAATGTGCAAATAAATATTTCTTGATTTATACCTAGGGATTTTATAAAATAATTCCGAATTGTTTATCTCATTGTCTTTACTAATGAATTGATTTACTTAAAGGTAAAAAGTGTTATTATTGTTTTGCTTTGAGTAGAATAAATAAATACGAAATATTTAAAAGAATTTAACCATGATAGAACTTTTCCCAACAAATCTATACTTTCCAACCTCATGTCAAACCATCTACGTGCCCATTTACAATGTCTGTTTCGAGTTAAAGTAAGCGATGATGGTTAATAGCTGTAGCGTGTTTCATACACAATAACTTAAGGCGTCATTTTGGGCATCCAATAGGATCGTAGAGAGTACTCTACTAGCAAGTACTCCTTGTGTGGAACATGAGAGCTGAATACGATTAACGAAGTTATCTGTGATGCCACATGATATGACACCTGAATTCATCTCAAACCTAAGTAATGAATAAAGGGAATTAGTTAATTTTAAAACCCCCAGTTATGATAACTCAAAGCATTAAGACTTTCTCTACTCCATTTATAAATGTACTTCATCTACTTCATTGGAGGTTCAGGGAATAAAACAACTCCACTCGATGTATTTCGTGTCAAATTGTGCTTGTCAGTCTGAACACCTATTGGTATCATCTAGAAAACATCTCCATTTATAGTATCAACACATTCATCTGCAATTTGATTGTGACCGGTGTCTTATTTACGATCTTTCCAAAGCATCTTTACTCCTCAAATGAACCCTTGATTACGTTTCCAATCACCCCCAAGTTCTACTACCTTAACATGATGTTGGTGATAGAGGAGGACGACTACTGCGATGACTACTTTGATAGGATTTCTTTCCACCACCACCACCTCCTCCTCCTCTACGTAATTTTGAATTCCTTGTTTCTGCCTTTCGTCTTGAACGTGATGAGGATTCTGGGGCATTCGAAGACTGCCTGGAAGAAATGGCTGAGATTGGACTACGAACACGATAACACTCGTGATGACTTTCTCTTGATCCATGTCGTCGAGAGCAACGATCACTGCGGCCACCGTATTTTCGACCAAGATCTACTTCCTATCTGTTTATAAATGAAAAGTTGGTTTTCAACTCTTACCCTATTGACTTGGAAAGCATATTTACACTAAATATCCATTTGGTTATTTAACACATACTCACTAAACCAATTTCCCTAGAGATAGAAATTACAGATAAATCCTACCACAAAGTACAATCAAAGATAGATACGTAGAGAAGCAGAGAATTCTTCGTCAATAGTATGCGAATTCCGCCATTAAACCAGTTGTGATTGGATCTGCAGTGGGGCTTGATCTATCAGGTGGCAACACTCGTGGACCCAGAGTTAATGGTGCTCTTGGCAGGCATGTGGAAGATATTACAAGTAGTAATCGTGGATATATCAAAGATCTCCCAAGTTCTCAGTGGTAGCCCTCCAGTCTTACTTTCAACCATTCACACGAGAATGTCATTTATAGCCATTTCGCTATTGCCATTTTAAATTCACTCGATGTATTTCGTGTCAAATTGTGCTTTTCAGTCTGAACATCTATTTGTATCATCTATACTACACCTCCATTTATAGTATCAACACATTCACCTGCAATTTGATATCAGAGTGCCACTTCATTGGATTAAGAGGTTACGCGGCTACTTCTAGAAATAGGTTTATGTTGGCGCTTCCTAGTCTTTATGAAAATACAACTAAAAAGTCTCAATAAAGGACATTTCTTGTGAATACTACCACTTGGAAGCGTTGATTTTGATGAGATACTGGTATGCACAATGGAAAAAATTATAACCTTTTGAATCATTTTGGTTGTGGTAGAATAGAAGTTAGTCGATTGCAACCGTCAACACGACAAGTAACAGGAGGAGCTGCAACTTTTGACAAAATTCACTTCGATAATTCAATTTATATAATAGTTGGAAAAATTAGAGTTGGATATCCTAGAAAGTTGTATATGGTGAAAGAATTACTCAAATTCGAGACAATTTGTACTAATGGCGTATTTTATGTATCAGATATGAATGTGTTGGACGTACCAATTGTTAAGGCAGCTGGAGCATCACGAGAATTCCAACATGAATTCAAAATTTCTAATCCAACATTTAGGTGCTAGTATGCTAATGCAAATTTCGATAAAGTACAATTCAATGCAGTATCGAGAGGTTACAGTAGTTTATCATACTTACACAATAAATTAAAATTCTTCCAACCACCATCACCCCCACAACGAACGACCACTACCATCACCATCACCAATATTAATATCTCATTTCGATGTTTCATTTCCTTATGATTCAATGATACGAGGACTGTTTAAAATGAGAAATAATAGAATTGATATATTTTTATTGCACCTTCGACAACCCAGTTACGCCCAACCATCGAACCGCTACAACGAACCACCACCACCACCATCACTGGATAGCACAATAATTATTCTATAAATAGTTTTTCAAAAGTTTTTAGACGAAACTACTGAAATGATATTCCTACATGTTAATGACGCTGTGGAAAAAGAGTTGCAAATGAGCAGTTTTAGATAGTGAAGAAGTAAGTGTCAATTTGTGTGATACTTGAATTCACCTCATTTAACACTTCAAGTTGCCTCAATACATCAATGCACCTCCTTTTCACTCACTTTCAACTTCTTCTTCTTCATCCCATCACACTAACTATCATCCCCATCACTATCACTAGCGTGGCTACGCACAAACAATCGCATTGGGTGTCGCATCTGTTAAAAACTATACACACAAGATCAAAATGACAGGAATTTGATTTCCTCAACTCGACTATTTCTTCTTGACAATTGAATGAATTGGCTTAGTACAAGCATATGGATCCGTAATCCCCACAACGCCTATCCATCGACCACAAGTCAGATTTCGACTGACATTGGGCTCACACCATTTCATTCATTAATGGTCATGCTATCATAACTCAATTTTCAAATCACAGAACTTAATGAGTTAGATCTGATGACCTCATTACTCACAATGTGACCTCAATACTTTCGTGTACTGCAAATAGCAAATAAAATTCCGATTACCTGTCTTGATCGATAGTGTTCAAAGTTCTTACAGACAACATTAATTAATGTTTATCTTTCTCGGGATGTGCGATAGACTTACCTTCACGTGGTGCACCCTGGGCAACGTATATTCACACGGTAAAAATGTCTATTAACCGGCAGTTGACTTCTCACTTTAAGCTACCATCACACCACTGTACGCCATATTCTACCACTTCCACAGTAATCATTTTAAATTTTCTCTGCCTCTGTCTCTTTTACAACTGTAAACCACTCTTCTGTTCCCCACCCATCGAAATTCGGTTACTTTGACGTTCCTTTCCTCTGTGAAGCCTGAAGTCAGCTAAAGAGCTAATGATAACTATCAAAACGCCTGCCATTTGAAATAAATAAATGTTTATCTCTATCTCTAATCGCATCATCAGGTCAATGCCAATTTTATTGAATTAGTTTGTGCATGGCTGTCTCCAAGTACCGCAACTTAGACTAAGTCATACCAATTAGCCACTTAAAATTTCAAAGCCATTTTGATTTTCTCAGTTCTCTCACCAGTGAACTTCTTTATTCTCATGTTTTGACCTTTCTTCTA